CACACTCTCTCTCACACACACACACACACCCACACACACACACACACACACACACTATATATACACACACACACACTCTCTCTCTCTCTCTCTCTCTCTCACACACACACACACTCAAACAAACAGACTCACATACTGTCACCATATATCTGGTGGTTCTTAAAAAGTACTAAAACAATTGTTAATTGAATTAAGTGGAGTCCAAAATCAGAACCAGGGGCCTCATATAAAAGATGCACGTGCAATTGGATTTGATCCTAAATTCCATTAATTCATCATGCATCAAAAGTGAGGAACAAATCTGGATTTATAAAGGGCAGAAACTGACATGAAAACGTTATGTGATTGTCTGAACTGAGAAATACATGAAAGAACTTTCTGCACATACACCAATAATTAAAATAGTCCAATATTGATGATAATAGTAATGTAAAGAAAAATAGGGAATTACAATATTCATTATATATATTTATATATACACACACACTTGTGAAAACAAAAGCATTTACCAGACACTTTCAGCAATGTATGTGTCTGTGTGATTTAAAGGGGAATCTTCAGATTACTGGCAGAGTTTCAGCTGGAGAACAAGGACAATCCTGCATATACGGGTAAAACAACCACCACTGCCACACAATGCATTTATAATGAAGCCTCCGCTTATTAAAACGGATGATTGTTGTTGTTTGTTCAGGATTGTCTTTCCAGGATTTCTACCAGCGCTGTCGCGAGTCGTTCCTGGTGAACAGTGACATCACGCTGCGCACGCAGCTCACCGAGTTCAGAGACCATAAACTCATCCGCAACAAGAAGGTCAGAACTCGCCTGAACTCACTTCACACGTGCAGAATAACTAGGGATGTGATGATACCAAAATCTCACGATACGATAACATCGCGGTATGAAGTCCATGATGCGATATTTATTGCGATATTTAAAAAAAAAAAAAAAGACAAATGAAGAATTGGAAAAAATTAATTATTGCACTTCAAAATGAAGAGCTGTGTCCATGTTTAAGAAAACTTAAGTCAGAAGAAAGTCAGTGAATTGTCTTGTAGCTGAACTTTAAAGGAGACTCAGCCCTCTTTATTTGTGATCTACTGTCTCAGTCTAAATTACACTCACACTGCTGTTTTAGGAAGATAAACTTAATTATTATAATAATAATAACAGTAATAGCCATATATTGTGAAACAGATGCACTGTAAAATAAATGCAAATGAATGTCTCATAGGTATATTATTTTAGCTTTACACTACAGTAGAGAAATAACAATACTT